GAGTTGGCGGTAGGTGGTGATGACTAGCTGCCTTTAGTAGTCTTACACTGCTAAATTAGGGACGGCTAGCGCAGATAGCCTTCGATTAGTTTTGTGCGAAATTCAAAACAAACAAACAAGTGTAAAGCTACATAATGGGTGATATGTACTCTGTTTACCCCGGAGAATCGAACTCCAGATTTTAGCATTGTAAGTCCGTAAACTTACCGCTGACCAAACGGGAAACAAGAGAAGGCAGTAAAAAATTGGAATGTATAGGCTAGATGAAGTCCAAATAATTTACATTAGTTACTGTATAAACGCCGACAGCTGGCGAAGTACTGAACTCAATTCGCCTAACATTTATGATAAGAATTATATAAACTGCAGATTTTACTGGGTTTTTTTGTGTTTTTTTTTCGCGTTCTTTAAATTTGACGTTTTCAGATTCGAAATACGCAGTGTGTAAACATGATATTTCAGATCTATCTTTTGTCTTCCATAAGAAACTGTCTAAGGAGCCTTTTTGTGCAGTACCAGAGATCATCAGTTAAATGGACGATGAGAAACAAACGTTTTTCTCAAACGCTATTTATATATTTGGAATAAGACTTCAAAAGCTAGTGAAACATTAGCAACTAATAGGCCTAATACTTCTGATAAAAATCCCGCAAGTTGCAAACGTGTTTTGTTTTTTGACATTCCTTTTAATTTTGTCCATTTTGGAAGACAAAAGGTAGATCTGAAATGCTATTTGACAAGCGTTTGACTTCGAACTCGAAATGAACAAATTAGGAGGAATGTGTAGTTGTGTGATATTTATCACAAATATTAGGCTTAATGTACAACATTATTTATGTTTTTCTTGCGGAAATACACATTACAAGTGAACTCGTTAGACCCGAGTTATTTGTACCAGTTGTATGTTGTAAGTATTTTATGTTTTTTTCTTAAATAATGATCAGGGACTTAATTTACCAAGATAGCATATTAAATAAACATAATGAGTAATACATCTACTAAGCAAGTAACGTAATGGAAAAAGTGGTGTTGTGGAGGTGTAACTTGGTTTGTCTGCTGGTGTTAACAAACCTCCCAAAATTACGTAAAACGGAAATATCAATTCTTGCAAAAATACAAAGAAAACTCTGATCGATTTAAATCCAAGCATTACGTTAGATATAAGAAACAACAACGAAAAAGTACAACTAATATCTTATCATATCATATTCTTTCAAAAATATAAATAAAGAATCCTAGCGACTAAAATTCAAACATTATATTAGACATAAAAACATATATATTAAAGTAAAATGTATTCAATATTTAGAGATATTCTATTAATACTAAACACATAAGCAGGTATTGTTTACCGACTTTGCAAAACTGTTTCTTGTGTTCTAGGTTTTTCCTCAAGTTTTTTCTCAAGTGTAATCAGAACTGCTTGAAAAACGCTGGAAATCCCAGAGACATGAGAAGATTCCAAGTAAGAAATTATCCTTTATGATAATAGTACAAGAGAAAATGTCGTGAATACCCATCAAATAGTCCTTGCATATTGGGAGGACACCAGTCTATGAACGTGTATAAACCAGCAAAATGTTATTTGCGAGTTTCCGGTTCTTAACTGAAAATGTCGTGAATACCCATCAAATAGTCCTTGCATATTGGGATGACACCAGTTTATGAACGTGTATAAACCAGCAAAATGTTATTTGCGAGTTTCCGGTTCTTAACTGAAAATATCGTGAATACCCATCAAATAGTCCTTGCATATTGGGATGACAACAGTCTATGAACGTGTATAAACCAGCAAAATGTTATTTGCGAGTTTCCGGTTCTTAACTGAAAATGTCGTGAATACCCATCAAATAGTCCTTGCATATTGGGAGGACACCAGTCTATGAACGTGTATAAACCAGCAAAATGTTATTTGCGAGTTTCTGGTTCTTAACTGAAAATGTCGTGAATACCCGTCAAATAGTCCTTGCATATTGGGATGACACCACTTTATGAACGTGTATAAACCAGCAAAATGTTATTTGCGAGTTTCCGGTTCTTAACTGAGCCAGCAAACGTTGTTGGTTGTTGCTCCACTCACGTTTGGAGAAGTAAAAACACTCAGAGAATGTATTTTTAATATATGGATTTGTATTATTTAGCGTTTGTGTAGTTCACAAACATTAATAGTACTTTTGAGGTATCGAATCGTGATATACACCCTTTTACTGTCTGAGAAAAGGAAGTTTTATCTTGTTGTCTATGTAGTAGCTTTATAATGAGGATTCCTTCTATTTTTGTTTGCCATACTTCTTATCAAAATGACGAAGAGTTTGGCGGAAGAGTGATTTGAGCTCTGAGACAATCGCGAAAAAAGTTCTATCCCGGCAATGGGCGAGTAGTCGTTGAAAGAGAGCCCTTGAGGGGTGAAACAAACTCTCCCTCTCGTGACGTTACCTTTATCACCGCACGAAAGGCCTCACTTGGGACTTGAAAGCGCTTCATCCCTCTCTGTTCATTCATTATACCTGCCAGGATGAACAGACAGTGTCTGTAGCAAGAGATGCGACTGATAGCAGCTAGTTGTTCTTTCTTACAAATATGATGTCAAAAGATTTGGAACTTTGTAATAGTATAGAAGAAACGTCCTTTTGTTCTTTCTTAGAAATATGATGTCAAAAGATTTGGAACTTTGTAATAGTATAGAAGAAACGTCCTTTTGTTCTTTCTTAGAAATATGATGTCAAAAGATTTGGAACTTTGTAATAGTATAGAAGAAACGTCCCTTTGTTCTTTCTTAGAAATATGATGTCAAAAGATTTGGAACTTTGTAATAGTATAGAAGAAACGTCCTTTTCTTAACAACGTGGTTGAAACAAGTCTATGGCCATGTCTAATATATCAAGATACTGAAGTTAAACACTCAAAGAAAATAGAAAGGTGTAAAACAGAAATACTGATACAGGCGGTACAACTAGACGAGCGTACATCACACCTACACGATACTTTGTTGCATATTTTCAGGCGATACAACTAGACGAGCGTACATCATACCTACATGATACTTTGTTGCATATTTTCAAGCGATACAACTAGACGAGCGTACATCATACCTACACGATACTTTGTTGCATATTTTCAGGCGATACAACTAGACGAGCGTACATCATACCTACATGATACTTTGTTGCATATTCTCAGGCGATACAACTAGACAAGCGTACGTTCACACCTACACGATACTTTGTTGCATATTTTCAGGCGATACAACTAGACAAGCGTACGTTCAGACCTACATGATACTTAGTTGCATATTTTCAGGCGATACAACTAGACAAGCGTACGTTCAGACCTACATGATACTTTGTTGCATATTCTCAGGCGATACAACTAGACAAGCGTACGTTCACACCTACACGATACTTTGTTGCATATTCTCAGGCGATACAACTAGACAAGCGTACGTTCAGACCTACACGATACTTTGTTGCATATTTTCAGGCGATACAACTAGACAAGCGTACGTTCAGACCTACATGATACTTTGTTGCATATTTTCAGGCGATACAACTAGACAAGCGTACGTTCAGACCTACATGATACTTTGTTGCATATTTTCAGGCGATACAACTAGACAAGCGTACGTTCAGACCTACATGATACTTTGTTGCATATTTTCAGGCGATACAACTAAACAAGCGTACGTTCAGACCTACATGGTACTTAGTTGCATATTTTATATTCACTTACACTTCTGGGAATGTAAGTTCTCACTCTTTTTTTATCAACACGGGGTATTAATGATAAAATAACAGAGTGTAAGTTACATAACTTGTATGCTTTTGTTTAACATACTCTATTTATTACTACATTTTAAAAGTTGTAACAGAATCCTGTACGTTGTGTTTGTTTGCCAGCAAACTTCTCCCGGTATTTTGAAGTTAGCAGGACCAAAGTTGGCATGCAGAATCAGACCGATGCGGGTGGTGTCCCCAATCTATATCGGGTAGTTGGGCTAAAACACGCCCGAAAGACTAAGCAGGCATGATACAACCAAAGAGTAGGTGTTCAGAGTAAATAAACCTGCATCTGGCATCAGATTCTGTTTTCCTTGCCCCCTCAGAATCCTGGGTTTCCATGTTTGAAACTGTGTTAATAGCTCTAGTAACACGCTAACGGGAAAAGAAAACGTGGTTAGGGTAGCACGATTGGGTTTGTTTTCGGGTATATCGTACCTTCGTATTGCATTAGAAGTAACTTGAAGTAAGGGAGGAGCCTGATCCGTAGAGAAGGACATCTGAAATCATGAGAGTGCCCTTGGACACCACAGAGGCAAGAACGTTTTATTCAATGGGCAAAAGGGGCAATTACCCAGTGGCTACCGTGAGTTGCGAGTATAATAATAATAGATAATAAAATATGAACTTTATGATAAAAATATAATAATAAACGAGTTATTTAAATACATATTTTCATATGTTTTGTTCCTTTAATTTTTTTATCACTAATAAATTTAGTTAGTCAAACTGTATGGTATTTTTTTAAATCAAGGGGAGACCCAGTAGTTTATACTTGTCGAAGTACAAGGGCCCGCCTGTGTCTTAACGCGTAAATGTGCAGAATCGCATTTATTTTGTGCTAGTTATAGTTACAATCATTAAAAACAAAACATAATCAACAAACACTACCTTCAGAAAACATTCGTAAGACCCGGTTCTTACCATATATGTCTACATGATTTATTTAGTTAAGCATAAGAAAGTTTCAATACAAACACCTTTAACTAATCAACGAACAATACCCCCAGGACACAATCATAAGACCCGGTTCTTACCATATATGTCTTCATGATTTATTTAGTTAAGCATAAGAAAGTTTCAATACAAACACCTTTAACTAATCAACGAACACTATCCGCAGGACACAATCATAAGACCCGGTTCTTACCATATATGTCTACATGATTTGTATAGTTAAAGATAAGAAGGTTTAATCAAAATCACTTTTAAGCAATCAACGAACACTACCTACAGAAGACACAGACACAGTTTCTAAGGTATATGTCCGCATGATTTCTGAACCTAAGATGGTGTCATTAATAACGTTTTTGAGTAATCAACGAACACTACCTCCTGAAGACATTCATAAGATCAACTCCTTACCATATATGTCTACATGATTTGTATAGTTAAAGATAAGTAGATTTCCTTAAGAACAGTTTTAAGTAGTCAACAAACATTATCTCCACAGGACATTCGTAAGAAGCAGTTCGTACCGCGTATGTCTACATAATTTACTTACTTAGAAATAAGAAGGTTTCATTAGAAATACTTAAGTAATCAACAAACACTACCTCCAATATACACAGACCCAGTTCCTGCCATGTATGTCTACATGTTGTTTTTATATTTAAAGATAAGAACATTTAACTAAAAACACTTTTAGGTAATCAAAAAATACTACATACAGAAGATCTTCATGAGACCCATATCTTACTATATATGTCTATATGAATTATTTATCTAAATATGAGATGGGTTCATTAGCAACACCTTTAAGTAATCAACGAACAGTACCTCCAGAAGACATTCATAAGACCCATTTCTTATCATATATGTCTACATGATTTATTTATCTAAACATGAGATGGGTTCATTAGCAACACCTTTAAGTAATCAACGAACAATACCTCCAGAAGACATTCATAAGACCCATTTCATATCATATATGTCTACATGATTTATTTATATAAATATAAGAACAGTACCTCCATAGACACTGTTTTTACCATGTATTTCTATATATTTTATTTATTCATTTTTACCTATAATCACATCCTTGCTTGTTCTTTTTTCTGTCTGTGATTTATACGGTAACCTTCTGGAATCAACAAATGATAGAAGCGAAAATTAATATATTTAGACTAATCATGTACTAAAATGGGAAAATTAACATTTATTCGATAGCTCTTGAGGAGCTGGGATTGTCAATGTTCACTTTCCATGAGCTGCGACTATGGTTTCTACAGTCCTTTCTCACACACCCCTTGCTGTTAATATATGTATAACTCACAGGGATTCAAACAAGTTCTTGCAGTTAATATACGTATAACTCACAGGGATTCAAACAAGTCCTTGCAGTTAATATACGTATAACTCACAGGGATTCAAACAAGTTCTTGCAGTTAATATATGTATAACTCACAGGGATTCGAACAAGTCCTTGCAGTTAATATACGTATAACTCACAGGGCTTCAAACAAGTCCTTGCAGTTAATATACGTATAACTCACAGGGATTCAAACAAGTCCTTGCAGTTAATATACGTATAACTCACAGGAATTCAAACAAGTCCTTGCAGTTAATATACGTATAACTCACAGGGATTCAAACAAATCCTTGCAGTTAATATACGTATAATTCACAGGGATTCAAACAAGTCCTTGCAGTTAATATACATATAATTCACAGGGATTCAAACAAGTCCTTGGAGTTAATATACGTATAATTCACAGGGATTCAAACAAGTCCTTGCAGTACGTATTCAGATAAATATATTCTTCATTCGTAGATGTGCTTTTCTCAGTACGTTTATGCTATGTTGTGTTAAGCTGAGGAGCATTCTCGAAAAATGTATTTATTTAAATTCGTTGTTAAAAAGTTGGATTTTCTTTGTATTAATAATATCTTCTGTACAGTTAATTGCATCTTATCTACCACTACAATCTCTATATCCAAATATAGGTAGTTATTTCGACACAAGTATCAGTTGATGGCCCTCTACTGGCAGTATCTGACAACATGTTTGTACACAATAACTCCAAACATGGCAGAAGAGCGAAAAGACTTAACGCTGCTGAAGGTAATTTACAAATTATTGCAGTAAAACCACCTCTGTGTTAGTTTAAATTTGTAAAATCGAGAGTAATAAAAACTTTAATCGTTTTTCTTTCTATAAAAATACAAAACAAAACTGACACTAGAATTTCTGTACCATTACTTAAAGCGTCATCTAATTCAGCTCAAGTCTAAATTATTACCTGACTTAACGCAGCTCAGGTCCGAATTACTACCGAACTTAATGCAACTCAAGATTTGCACTAAGTTAAGTAACAATTCGGAAAGTTCGTAGTAATTCGGACCTGAATGCAACTCAGGTCTAAGTTCGTTTTTCTTTCGGTTTTTCTTTATATTTTCAAAGGAGAAATTGAAAAGCATATCTTATCATGAAAAATGTACACCTGGCTTGTATACTCGAAATTAATCAATTACTTGAAGTATAATTTTGAAACAAAACACTTCCCCACGAAAAATAAGAATTGGAATATTTAGAAGTTAACCGTAACTGTAAAAACCTGGGTTATATGCTCTATAGTATCTGATAAAGGTCAATAAATGATGTCTCTATATATTAATGTCGAACATAGCTGCACTCCATTTAATCTGTATAGAAATACATTGTGGCCTATTAATGAACACGAGAAAGAACTGAGAGAACTGTTTTTATCCTATGTTATTTCAACTTGTGAGAAGCATGTCTTCATATTGTAATCATATGTTTGTTTAACTGGTAAAATAGTTATACCATGGTTTCAAAGTACTTGGCTTCAGAATGTATTCAGAATGTATAAGGTTAATGTTCTATAAAAACGTCATTACAGTTCTGTTCTCCGCAACTCCTTGCATTAAAGCAATTAGTCCTAGTGAGGGCTGGACGACAGGGGACAGCACTGTAATTATCATTGGGGAAAACTTCTTTGATGGACTGCAGGTGGTATTTGGTACTATGCTCGTATGGAGTGAGGTAAGTATATTTTCTTCTACTGATGTAATCTCTATTAAAACTGTTGACTTCCTGTTCTACCTTCCTAATTGAAATAAAATAGATTATTCCAAATTGTTGTAATTAATAGATATTCCGAATCTTAGTCCCAATAATTACTTTTTCTACATCAAGGCACCTCCAGTAGCACAGTCTGCGGACTTACAACGCTAGAAACCGGGTTTCGATACCCGTGGTGGGCAGAGCATTGTGTAGTTTTGTGCTTAACTTCAAAACAAACAAATTTAGTACCAAGTACTACGGGTATTTGCATCAAACAGTTATTCTTTAAAGCAAACCCATTAAATACTTCAGCCTTGAAAGAAATTTGAGTACTTACCTTCAAAATCTTGCTGAACTTATATAAAACAGTATGTTTATTTTTTCGATAAAACTCATATTTCTTTCATAAACTATAAGGAGGATGTTTCTGCGAAGTTCTTTCATATGTTTCAGGTATATGTAAATACGCTTTGTAGTGGATCATTATTCGTTGTTGTCTCTTTTCCATTAGTTCATTGTGAATACGCTTTGTAGTGGATCATTATTCGTTGTTGTCTCTTTTCCATTAGTTTATTGTGAGTACACTTTGTAGTGGATCATTATTCGTTGTTGTCTCTTTTCCATTAGTTGATTGTGAGTAAATTATGTAGTGGATCATTATTCGTTGTTGTCTCTTTTCCATTAGTTCATTGTGAGTACACTTTGTAGTGGATCATTACACTGGTGTTATCTCTGTTCTGTAAGTTCAGCGTGAATACATTTTCTAATGGATCATTACCCGTTATTATCTCTGTTCTGTAAGTTCAGCGTGAATACATTTTCTAATGGATCATTACCCGTTATTATCTCTGTTCCATTAGTTCAATGTGAGTACACTTTGTAAGAAATCAATTCACTGGTGTTATCAGTATTCCATTAGTTCAATGTGAGTACACTTTGTAAGAAATCATTACACTGGTGTTATCTCTGTTCTGTCAGTTCAGCATTAGTACACTTTGTAGTGGATCATTACACTGGTGTTATATCTGTACTGTCAGTTCAGCGTGAGTACACTTTGTAGTGGATCATTACACTGGTGTTATATTTGTACTGTCAGTTCAGCGTGAGTACACTTTGTAATGGATCATTATTCTGTTGTTATCTCTGCTCCTTTAGTTCAGTTACGTACTAAAATATGGTTAAAAATTTCATAAATTACAAATCCTAGTTTCAAGAGCTTCATTGAACAAACAAAAGGCTAATTTTTGCTACTGTTCGTTACAAGGATTTTTTTTTTATACTTTAACTAAAAGATTTTGTACAGTCGGTTGAAGGAGCATTTTTATAGTATACATCTAAAATTCACACCGGTTTATATGTGGTTTCTTTGATGAACATGAAATTATTCGTCATTTAAAAATGTTTTACAATATAAATTATTTTATTTTTCTCTGAATAGTAGTTTTATAGCCTTTAGATTTGAAATTATATTATTTTTAAATTTTGGGATGTTATTAATATAGGTTTTTAAACAAGTACAATTTGACGAAATAAAGATTCAAATAAAATTCATTCCTGAACATTATTTTAGGAAAAAACTGAAAATATCCATGTTTAGGGTAAGTATTTATAAGAAATTATTCTAAGTGATTGTTCTAATGCAGTAAAAACCAGATGTTCTACAACTGTATAAAAATCAACTAATAACTTACATCAGAATGCTTAAACGTTTTCTAGCTGATAACGCCCCACGCAATTCGAGTTCAAATTCCACCTCGTCACATTCCTGGTGTTGTGGAAGTGACATTGTGTTATAAGTCGAAACAGTTCTGCAAGGGAACACCAGGAAGATTCGTCTATATTTGTGAGTATGCTTTCCAATTTTTATAGCTTTCTAGGCTTTATACATTAAAATATTTTATTATCAGATTCAAACATGTTAAATATTGTGTGAACATAACATTAGTAAACACGTTAAATATTGTCTCAATATGACATTTTTAAACATGTTAAATATTGTGTGAACATAACATTAGTAAACATGTTAAATATTATGTGAACATAACATTAGTAAACACGTTAAATATTGTCTCAATATGACATTTTTAAACATGATAGATATTGTATCAATATAATCTTATTAAACATGTTAAATATTGTCTCAACCCAAAATTATCATCGGGAGCACCTGGAAAGCCCTCAATTGCCAACGTTCTCAGGTAAACAGGTGAAACGGGGTACTCCAGTGGACCCGCTGCCTGCGATTGCAGTAAGAAGCAGAAGATGCAACACCTACTCGTCTGCCCACAGTTCCAGGTCCCATGCACAGCAGAAGACTTTGCTGTAGCCAACGAAATTGCAATCAGATGTGCGCATCTCTGGATGGAAACCATATAGGGATAGGTGGACACGATAAAAAGAAGATAACATTATTAAATACGTTAAATATTGTATCAACATAACGATATTAAATATACTAAATATTGCCTCAACATAAAATTATCAAAACTAAATATTGTCTTAATACAAAATTATCAAAGATGTTAAGTATTATTATTCATCATGTTAAATATTACCTCAACATAACGTTATTTGTGTTAATGTGCATCGTTATCCTTAAATAAAACTATATAATCTCCACATCATTCATTAATTTTCAGAGCTGTATACCAATGAAATCCATCAGTATATATATTATCCTTTAGGTAATCCAGTTACTGTTAGAACTGATACTATCAGTAGCACCTATTTTGTGATTCACATCATCCAATTGCTGTTAGAAATGTTCTACCATGTAACCATCAGTAGCACCTAGCTTGTGATTCACATCATCCAATTGCTGTTAGAAATGTTCTACCATGTAACCATCAGTAGCACCTAGCTTGTAATTCACATTATCCAATTGCTGTTAGAACTATTCTACCATGTAACCATCAGTAGCATCTATTTTGTGCTTCATATCATCCAATTATTATTAGAAATGTTCTACCATGTAACAATCAGTAGCACCTAGCTTGTGATTCACACCATCCAATTGCTGTTAGAACTATTCTACCATGTAACCATCAGCAGAACCTATTTTGTGCTTCATATCATCCAATTATTATTAGAACTGTTCTACCATGGAACCATCAGTAGCACCTAACTTGTGATTCACATCTTCCAATTGCTGTTAGAAATGTACTACCGTGTAACCATCAGTAGCACCTAGCTTGTACTTCACATCATCCAATTGCTATTAGAAATGTTCTACCATGTAACCATCAGTAGCACCTAGCTTGTGCTTCATATCATCCAATTATTATTAAAACTGTTCTATCATGGAACCATCAGTAGCACCTAGCTTGTGTTTAACATCATCCAATTGCTGTTAGAAATGTTCTACCATGTAACCATCAGTAGCACTTAGCTTGTACTTCACATCATCCAACTGCTGTTAGAACTATTCTACCATGTAACCATCAGTAGCACCCAACTTGTGATTCACATCATCCAATTATTATTAGAACTGTTCTACCATAAAACCATCATTAGTACTTAGCTTAGCTTACCCCTCAATATCGTCAAATAAAATGTTTGAGTGTTTCTGCTATAAAACCATCAGATGTTAACGATTTTATGACTTTTATCTCTTAATAGACCCTAACGAACCTTCAATTGACTATGGTTTTCAAAGACTTTCCAAGTTAATCCCCAGACATCCAGGTGACCCAGAAAAGCTACCAAAGGTAGGAAAAGAAACCAGTACTTATAGTTACAACAAAAAATCATTCATTTGCTAATAAATATGTCCTTTTTAGACTGATATATTGTCATTGGTGTGCTTAGCAGATTTTTCCATATCAAGACGAGACAACGATCGAGTCTGTGTGCATTTGATCACGTTTCTGGACTTGTTTATTCTGCAAGCTACAGATAAATTTGATAGTAAATTTTTAAAATTATGTCTTCTGCAAGGAAGAGCTATTAACTGTAATGGCTCGACATGGCCTGGTGGTTAGGGCGCTCGACTCGCAATCTGGGGAACGCGGGTTCGAATCCCCGTCCTACTAAACATGCTCGACCTTTCAGCCGTGGGAGCGTTATAACGTGACGGTCAATCCCACTATTCGTTGGTAAAAGAGTAGCCAATGAGTTGGCGGTGGGCGGTGATGACTAGCTGCCTTCTCTCTGGTCTTTCACTGCTAAATTAGGGACGGCTAGCACAGATAGCCCTCGTGTAGCTTTTCGCGAAAATTCGAAACAAACCAAACAATTAACTGTAATATTCCTCAAAACAATGTATTTTCTACGTCCATAAAAGAATGGAACTAAGTGGAAAAGAGTGGGGAACGTGAAAAAATACTTTTCTTGGATATTAACAAAATAATTACCTTACAGACAACAACAAAAACACATTCTGGACTTTGACAGCAGCCAATGTTATGCATTGATATATCCATTACCTAAAGTAATTCCAAAGGATAGTAAAACGTAGATTAGCAAAGTTATTTAATAAAAACAAGAAATAAACGGCCAGTGCCTTTAACTATTCTAATTATGTCTCCTTATAAAGGCTTTTCTTCTTTTGGTTCCAAATAAATTCGATTTTAGAGTTTTCCTTACTTTTTAATTTTATGTTTATTTTCGAAAGGTTTAATCGCGCCATCAATTATTTTCTTTTGTAATTCACACCAACTCTGGACTATATATCGTCAGCGGTATTACATCATAATTGATTCTTCCTAACCAAGTGTGGTGAGTAAGACATTAAACACCACCTCGGTCTAAAATGAACACGCCGCTACAAACAGGGTTCAGCAACAAAAATACAATTTATTCACAATAACAACACTTAGAAATTAATTCAACACAGTCAATAAACAAATACCTGGCTATGACTACACACCAATATTAATAAATCAATAATAATGGAACCATGAAAAAGAACCAGAAAAAACCTAATTCCAAAAAGTTACAGCAATTACAATATTCAAGCAATACCTTTCGAGATCAGTAACAATATCGAGTGACAAACAAAAAAATTATACCCTTCAATAACTACCTCGTGACTCTCTCTCTTAATGAAGCTCCTGGCAAGGTATTTATTCACCGAGTAGGTCACGAGAGTACAACCTTATGTAATCATAAATTTGCATACTCTTCTGCTACATTAATAGTATGTACGTCACCGCTAGGGAAGCTGGTGATAGTTTCATCATACACACATATTTACTCAAAATACAAATGATTATGTAGAAGGTGAGTTAGCGTTTTAATGCAACTAAAAATTCACGGATAAACTAAACGATAGAAGGACAAAATATATTAACGATAAACACAACGATAATCATAAAAAAATAGAATTTGCTATCTCACACAGTGGTATCACTTCCTAATTGTGCCGACCTTACCAACAATACCAAGCAAGGTGTTAAACCCTACCTTTCCAACAGTATCACTTCCACCTAACCAACAATGGCGAGCAAGGCATTAAACCCTACCTTTCCAACAGTATCACTTCTACCTAACCAACAATGGCGAGCAAGGCATTAAACCCTACCTTTCCAGCAGTATCACTTCCACCTAACCAACAAAGTCGAGCAAGGCATTAAACCCTACCTTTCCAACAGTATCACTTCTACCTAACCAACAATGGCGAGCAAGGCATTAAACCCTACCTTTCCAACAGTATCACTTTCACCTAACCAGCAATGGCGAGCAAGGCATTAAACCCTACCTTTCCAGCAGTATCACTTCTACCTTACCAACAATGGCGAGCAAGGTGTTAAACCCTACCTTTCCAGCAGTATCACTTCTACCTAACCGACAATGGCGAGCAAGGCGTTAAACCCTACTTTTTCAGCAGTATCAGCGGTATTAATTGTTCATAGATTTTACGTAACAAACAATTGTGAGAAAGGTGTTAAATCCTGCTTCTCCATTGATAATAATTCTCAATGTGTCACATATAACAAATAATAGCAATGAATGTGATAAAACTTACCTCTTCAGCCGTATTAATTCCTAATGGAATAAAATATGGCGAGAAAGGTGTTAAAACTTACCTCTTCAGCCGTATTAATTTCCAGTGGAATAGAATATGGCAAGAAAGGTGTTAAAAGCAACCATTCTTTAATTCTTAATGGATTCTGCATAACCAACAATGGCTAGGAAGGTGCTAAACACTACCCTTCCAACGTAACAATTCTAAATGTGTCATATATAACCAACATTGGCGAGAAAGGTGCTAAAACTTACCTCTCCAGCGTTACTAATTCATAACGGATTCTGTATAACCTACTGTGATGATGAGCAGCATGTTAAAATCCACATCTCCAGCAGTACTAATTCTTAATGAATTCTACATATCCTAAAATGAAGAGCAAAGTGTTAAGTAAAAATATGCCTTACAAATGTTGTGTGCTAAACTGCCAAAAAAAACTACTCTGGCGGTCCAAAAGTGCACGTGTTTAATTTTCCAACAGAAGAACTCTTGAAATAAAAAGATGCAAATGAAACCCAAGGAAATATTTTCAGCCATCTCGGTGTTCAAAAGTCAGAAACTATTATAACATTACTGCTAAGTTTTTAGCACTTTGTAAATTGTACTAATTTATGAGTGACCAATTAATTATGATTTTATAAGTATCAAATTATAAAAGAGGTTAAACTTTTGTTTTCAGTTTAACATTCTGTTCATTAATGATATTTTTACTCTATTTAGTTCTGGCCTGATAATAGTTTATATTTTATTATATTTATTGATTAGGCTGGCGTCACTTTCTTGGCACAAATAAGTTTCCAGGAATTACCTTATGACTGATATATCACTAATATAAAATTACTGTTAGTTGAATTTGTAGGCCCCCGATGGCTTTAAGTTTTGAAATTGAGTAAACTACAGAAAACAGTTGAATAACAATTTGAAATTTATAACTGAACCACTGAATTTATAAAACATTACCTAAGTAAATACTAATAAACTACATTTCCAGGAAAGTGAAATAAGAAAAGAAAGAATATTCTTACGATAGCCAAAACCACCATACTTTCCTGGCTTCCATCTTACTTATCTTCATGTTCAGCTCAGGCATCAAGAAAAAGTCTTGAGGCAAAAAGTAAAGTGTCAGAAAGTTTAACACCTAAGAAAATGTATGACGCTAAATTAAAATGTTCATCTCTGCCAGAATTCGTCAGTTTGTTAGATCTTAAGAAAATTACTGACTTTTAGGCCCTGGTTTCAGTACCTAACGGTGTTATGCTTTTTAACTGGCACCAAGAATTGTTTTATCTGTTGTCGTTGGTGATAGCATCTGTATTTGTAAAAAACGTTCAACTCAAGCAACTGGAGAATGACTGTAAACTACCAATAAGTATACATGACATTAACCAGGCTTATAAAATTCTAGAATTTGTTACTTTCTAGAAAAGAAAGACTTAAAACACTGTATCTATCACGTTAAAGAAACTTGTATAGTATTGTTACGTCTCCGTTTGTTAATTAACTTTCCG